AAGAACGAAATTGTGCACTGAGAATGTTGAGAAATAATTTGAACCAGGAGAATATAATTAACTATCAGAGAAAAAAGGCTGAAGCTCGTAGAGTAATTAAGAATACTAAGCGTGATGTATGGAGAACTTATTGCTCTACTATAGGGAGGGAAGTTCAAATTGGAGATGTTTGGTCAATGTTAAAGAAAATGAATGGGAAAAAGGTATTTGTTAAAATACCTGTATTAGAGGAAGATGGAGTACTGGCAATAACAGATAAAGAAAAGGCAAATATACTAGGAAAGAATTTTGCTAGTGTACACAGTGGAAACCATCTGGATGACCGATATCGACAAAGGAAAGAGGAGATTCTAAATGAAAATAGGGATGTATATAGGAAGAAAGATAATGAGGATAGTGCCATGGATTCAGAAATATCTATGAATGAATTAGTAACAGCATTAAATGGGACTGGCTGTTCTGCTACAGGAGAGGATCAGCTGAGTTATGCAATGTTCAGAAAAGTACCTGAAGAAGTATTAAAAATAATCTTGCAGTTGTATAACAAGATATGGAAAGAAGGGAAAATACCAAGAAGCTGGAAGAGTGCGATAATACTACCTTTTAGCAAACCCGGTAAAGATCCGAACAATGTTGGTAACTATAGACCTATAGCGTTAACCTCTCGTTTGTGTAAATGGACGGAAAAGATATTCGTCAGAAGACTCAATTACTTCTTAGAACAAAGAGGGTTATTTGCACCATACCAAAGTGGTTTTCGGAAAAGACAATCAACAATGGATGCTGTTGTAAAAGTAAGTAAAGAGATAGAGAAGACATTTAAAATGAAAGAGTTAATGACTATCGTATTTTTTGATATTGAAAAAGCTTATGATTCTATGTGGAGAGAAGGACTGTTAATTAAACTGAATAGGATGGGAATCAGAGGAAGATTTTATAACTGGGTGTTACATTTTTATCTAACAGAAGATATAGAGTTAAGGTGGGATCAGAGTTGTCTGATGAATTTGAAATTATTAATGGAATACCACAAGGCAGTGTAATTAGTCCAGTTTTATTTAATGTAATGATTAATGATATATTTATGAATATGGATAGAAGGATCGAATCAGCTCTATATGGGGACGATGGGGCCATCTGGGCAAGGGGACGAGATCTGCCGTGTATAATGGGTAAGATCAAGGAAGCAATAAGGAAAACAGAACAGTGGTCGTATGAGTGGGGGTTCAAACTCTCTACCAGCAAATCCTGTTACATGCTCTTTACAAGGAAGAAAGGGATAAATGAACAGAGTCTGGAGCTATACGGACAAGATATGGAGAAAGTAGATACATTTAAATATCTGGGCATTTGGCTAGACCAAAAGGGACTATGGAAGGCACATGTGGAGAAGGTGGAATCAAAATGTAAACAAGTTGTTAATTTAATGAGAGCGATAGTGGGACAAGTATGGGGAGCAGACAAACAGGCATTGATGTATATTTATAGGGCTCTAATGAGGTCAATAATAGATTATGGATGCTTTGTGTATGGCGCAGCAGCCAAATCACACTTAGATAAGATTGATAGAATGGTAAATACAACACTGAGGTTATGCACTGGGGCGATGAGGTCGACACCAATAAAAGCAATACAGGTAGAAGTAGGAGAAGCACCACTTGACCTGAGGAGAGATAAACTTATGCTTACATATTTGAGCCATGTGGGTGTGATAACGAAAACCTTTCCAAGAGTGTTATCCAAGAATGTTGGGAATACAATAAATTTCAAGGTAATGGATTTGGTTGGATGACATATAACAAATAAATGACAACAGTTCTAGTTTAAAAACAAAACAGACTTCCTGACATGGCCACTTTATGGTTTATGAGAAGCTATGAACTTCTACAGCAGAACAGAGCACAGCCGAAGCAGGCTTAAGCGTCGATTTGTAGCGCACATTTCCAGACCTATTAAACATGATTCCCGAAAAGTAAAGTACAAAATCCGGACAGTATTATGAAGAACAGAAGTTAGTAAAACAGCACAAAGCATAAAATTTTACTTTACCTTTACCTTTCTAAAAAACGAGTCGTGAGCTTGTTAATATCCTGAAAAATGAATGGCCGTCTATGGGCGATGCTAAGTGGCTCCACCACACGCTAACACCGGAAGTGAGCAGAATGCTCACTTCCGTGTACTGTGAAAAAGGTCTATACCCAACTCAATGAAAATAACCCAAATAAATTGACCAACAGGCTCAACCTAGTGGTTGGGTTGAAAAAACAACCCAGCATTTTTTGTGTGTGAAGCACGGCAGATCTTATGAGTGAAATAGCATCAAACATATTTTCCTTGGTGTAAAGATTACTGTGCTCTCTATAGTAGCAATGGTAACAAAAGTCCCTGATGACAATGTAGAGGTGTTTCTTTAGTTTGAAAAACAATTTTGAAAAAGTATTAACTTTAAAGCTGAAATCAGAAAGTAAACCATACCAAATTTATGTTAAGCTTGTTTTACATGACTTTTTCCAAAAGTCAGATCAAACTGGGCTTTCAGCAGGGCCCAGAAAGAACCTGTGGCATTTTTGTTGTATTAATTGTATAGCTCATCAAGTCACATAGTCACTGCTGTATCTCATCCATTCGTACTGTGTGCATACATTTATTACAAAGACAACACCAGTATAGAACAAGCACTGTAGATGCTGGGAGACAATGGTCAATGATGTCCTTCTCCCAGATTTCAGTTTGAGTACATAGGGTTATATATAGGATATATAGGATATATAGGGTTATATACTGTATATATACTGTATATATATATATATATATATATATATATATATATATGTGTGTGTGTATATATAAGGTGCTTACACATTACAAACAAACTTGTCTTGCTTTTTGGTTAACATTCTTTAAGTATCTGGTTTACATTAAAACTGGACTCTGGCTGTAAACTGAGAGGCTCTATCACAATTTATCAAGACATCGTATGTCTGTATGTATAAACTCTATGGAGCCATTCCAAGTAGGCATAAACTTCACATTATATTGTTTTACTACGGATACCGCTTCACCCTGAATGCAAGCATTAAGAACTGTTGACAGTGCTTCAGTTCAGAGTTTAGTTAAGGTTATACAGTTAAGAAGTTTGTTAACATATACTCTGTGTCAAAACAATGGAATCGTCTTTTGGAAAGGTTGATGCTACTTTTAAAGATTGCCAGACTTTACCACCAGAATTATAATCCTGGCTTGTGAAATAGGATCTGGTCAATATTATTTTTGGAGGGACAATCATATTCATCATTTCTAAGGTCTAAACATGCCTTGGTTTCAAAATAGTTTTTTTTTTTCATTAGCTGGCTAACCCTTTATTGCAAGTATATATGAACCTGACAAGCAATTGCTGTACACATGATACAGTTGCCCCCCCCCCATAACAACAACAATAACAATAATAATAATAGTAACAATGATTCAGCCTTCGTGTTTTTCTATATATTTTATTGGTGGTAAAATAAACAAGACATATGTGAGAAAGGGTTGACCTAAAAAGACCAAGAGTCCAAAACCAGAACTGTGTTTTGGTTTTTGCTCTATATACATCAGGGGTGTACAATGGGTTTTGCATTTTTAAACAGGAGGAATAAAATAAAATAAAAAAAAAACCACGAATACCATCATCTTAAAAACTATGTCTTTCAATGACAAGTAAAAATAGTTTGATCACAAAAAAACTATGAGCAGGTTTGTATACCATAAGAAGGGGTCATGAGAAGTTCAAACTTGTTCATGTTTTGACAGAGCCATATAGATTGGAAATTAAACTGTATTTATTTACAAAGAAAAAATGATCATTTTACAAAAAACAAAAACAAAAAAAAGTAAGGCAAAGCTGAAAACAAACCTCTATCCTTTTTTAACCGTAACACATTGTAATCAAAGCAACACCCCTACACCTTGTACCACTAACAATGAATGAACAAATACTAAATGTGAATGTGTAATTTGAGAATAAATGGTTCCTTTGCCTATTTTTAGGTAGTGCGTAATTACCTCATCAATTTAAACAGAAAGCAGGACAACTAACTTACATTATTTGTCTGCTTTTATTCCAGTAAACACACCAATAAACAATAATAAGATCATATAGAAAGAAGAATTTTACCACTCCTTGACAGAATAGTTGGATCAGCTTTTGTAGGCTAAATTAGTGGTTTGGACACCAGGACAGGTGCTTCACCAATCCGATTTTAATAAACATCTAGAATGACCAACAAACATGCTATGACACATATGATTTACACCTGACAAACAGGCCAAAAATTCATAAACATGGTCAATTTAAAAACACTTGTAAGTTCAAAATGAACAGAAACATGTCACTTATGAAAGTGAGCTTCAAGGCAAGGCTGAAAAAATACATCAATAGAATCTGCACTGCAAATAAATGAAAACACAAATTCAAAAACCCACACAGAAGAGAAACACAGCAAGTACATTTATCAAATGTGTTCTTAGTCTGATGGTTTTATTACAGGGAAAGAGGCAGAAGAGTCAGAGAGGGGTTTTTTTTAATATGGGAATTTATGTTTTCTGACATCTAAGAATTGTGATGATCTGCTCACAGCAGACTTGTTCATGTTAGTCGTATCTACTGTAGGTGATTAGCTCCAGGTAACCACCAAGGACAATCTCTTTTTGTTAGACTCAACCAAAAACTAAAAGGTGCTCTGGGTATGGTTAACCGGCTACATAGCACAGTTCCCTTAACTGAAGCTAAATCAGTACCTTCAGGATTTCATTTTTTTTTAATTAATGTACTTAATTACTCTCAAAGCCTCACAAACTAATTGCTGTACAAACATTTAGCAACTCCAAAACCCTTGTACATTTTTTTTCAGACTCACATGATTTGTTTGACTTTGGTGCAGATGACTGCCAGTTCATTCAGGGCATCCATCTCTGTCATTTACTGTGTAGTAGTGTACCAGGCTTTAAAATGATCATAATCACTGTTGCTTACACTTTCCAGATGAGCTTTTTGAACTCTTTGGACTCTTGGGGTCCTTCTTACCTTTTCTGGATTTGTTTCTGATAGGTTGAATAATGATAGCCAGAGGCTGTTCAGGACCTGCCTGACCACCACCTGCTTCAGCTCCAGGCACATCAGTGGCAGCTTTAGAGGCCACCTCCGCTGAACTTGATTCATCAGCACAGTTTGGGCTCACCCTTGATGCTACTTCAGGCATGTGTATATTTTCATTCTCCACAAGGCACCCAGCTTCAGCTCCTGCCACCACAGCTACCTCAGCTGCTGAGGAGCTCACAGCTCCAGTCTCTTCCAAGCCTGAAACTGTGTCCACCACTGAAGCTGTGATCTCCTCCACCACTGTACTCTCTGGATATGTTGGTGCAACCTGACTAGATGCATCCTCTACTTTCTCTCCAGCCACTTGTTCAGGTATGTCCTCCTCATTTCCTTTCTCTAAAATAGGTTTTCCATCCACACCTTGTTCAGTTGGGACAGCATCTGCTTCTTGTTGATCAAAATGAAAATTTTCAACTTCAGCAACTTGACCAGACACCAGTTCATTACTACAGGCCTCTCCATCTTCCCTGGATTTAGAAACTTGTCCTGTGGCCACTTTAGAAGTTCCCACTTCCTCTGGAGATGTGAAATCTTCTAAATTAACACTGATCAAAACATCTTGAATAACATTGTCAATGTTTTTTTCTTCCATTTCTTGCATTTGAGTTTCAGACACAATTGATGGTGCTGCCTCTTGATCCATCTCTTGGTGTGGACTTCCTGCATGAGAATCTTCCTTAGTTAAAAGTTCAGATACAAAAGTCTCAGATTCCTCTTTCAACAGCTTGTGAGACTCTGTGCCTGCATCCTCTAAAATAGAGCTAATACTGGGTGCATCATCTTTTGCAATTTGAGTTTCTTGCTGACCTTCAACTTTATCATTTGCTTGCAAAGATGATGAAACATTATTCTCCACTTTTTCTTGGACACGGTCTTCATCTGTGCACACAAACTGATCCTGCAACTGAGAACTTTCTGAAAGATCCTTATTTTTACTTTCCTCGTCTTTGCCACCTGAAATGCTGATTGCCTGATGGAGGGATGGTGCCTCTTGAACAGTGGTTTCTCCATCACTGACACTTTCACTTAAGATGGCAGTCATTTGGGGCAAAACTTCATTTTCTAGACTATCCCCAACCTTCTCCTCATATCCTTTGTTGTCTTCTGAGACAAACTGACCCTCCATCTGGGAAATAGCACTCTCTTCATATTCCTTTCCACTGTCAACATCATCACCAACATATTTCTGTACAGACAAGGCCACTTCTTCTATGATACCCCCCACTTTCTCTCCAATATCTGTGCTATCTACAACAAGCTGGTCATCAAGTGTACTCTCTTCCTCTTGGTTGTCTGTGCTACTTATACTTTGCTGCACAGGTGAAACAGCTGCTTCTTCAGTCTGCTCTTCTTTCTCTTGAACATTTCTGTCATCTGAGATCAAGGTTTCATCCACTTCCTTTGCATCTGAGAAGCCTACTTCTTGCTGTACTGCAGATGCTTTTCCCTCAACAGCATCACCAAGTGCCTCTCCATCAGCAATATTGTCTGATGAGATAAGCTTTTCCTCCATTTGAGAACTTGTGCTAAATGCATCTTGTTTCTCAATGTCCTCACTAGGGTCATCTGAGGTGCTTAAAACCTTAGGTGACAATTGTTCCTGCCCACTTGTCTCCTCTTTGTCTCTATCACTTCTACATTCTACATCTGCATTGACTTGACCCTCATCTATTTCTGATCCTGGTGTCATGTTTGGCTGGCTATCACCCTCCTCAGTGTTAGACTTACTTTCTTTCGTGGATTGCAGATGTTGCTCAGGCGCGGAAATATTTGGCTCATTAGAGTCTTCTAGTTTTGCCTCACAAATGGATTCGACAGCTGATGATATCAAATTTGGATCAACCAGATTTCTATCTTCTTGGTTTGTTAAAAGTGTGCCAACAGTTTGCCCAGACTTTAACTCTAGTGTTTTTTCTTCAGCTTCGGTTGGATCTGTGCTGGTGTGAATCTCCTGGAATTCTGGAACCACTTCTTCTTTACCTGTGGACCTTTCCACAGACTTTTCCACCGGGTCAGTTGGAATTACATTTTGGAGGCTTGCTAGCAGTTCATCATCACTGAGGACTCCCAGTTCAAAATTTGATGGGTGCTCCAGCTTAGAATTATCCTCCTTGTGGATGTCACTGTTGATTGGAGTTGTTTCCATACCATCCTCCCCTTCCTGGTCAATAGCAGAGAGAACAACAGCTTGATTTGCTGGACTGGAGTCCTCCTCTGGCACTTCTCTACTCTGATCTTCTTTGACTCCACATGATTGAGGTTGTAACATAACTTCAAGGCTTCCATCTGAATGAGCACTATCAACATCACTGGATATAAGTCCTCTGACCTCTTCTTTCACAATTTCTTCCATAATTTTGCTCTGGTCTGAGGTCAGTGTGGGTATCTCTTCTACCGGAAATACTGTTCCCTCCTCTTTTTCTATGCGTACTTCAGGAAAATTTGCAACATCTAATACAGGATGCAATGCTTCTGTGGGCACAGAAACATAATCAGAACAAACAAGATTTTCTAGCTGTTCTGATTGTGGAACCGCGGCTTCTCCCTCTGTGTTCTCTTGTGGGTTATTTGATTCATTTGTCTGGCTTGTCTCATTGTTGGATAAGCCTTCAAGAGCCTTGACAACTTCAGTTTGTTGATCAGGCATGGTTTCATTCACTGGATCTCCTGGTACCTCAACCGGTGAGTCAGACTGCTGGGGTATATCTGCCCCTTGCAATGGTTTTCCGCCTTTATCCTCAAAATTAACGATTAAAGATTTGTCTGAAGTTTGGTTTGGATATTCTTGGTTCCCCTCATTGTCTGCACATGTATTTTGGACCACATCACTGGGAATCTCATCATCCAGTGTTAATGAGGTGTGGGTGATCACGTCCTCTGGTTGAGTTTCTGCAGTTCTGTCATCATTTTTGTTTTGGACTGCATTACTGTTATCTCCAGAAAGACTTCTTACTTCAGCCTCAACCTCAAAAGGCAAAGTAGTCTTTGGGGTTTCTGGAATACCACTTGGAGCTGCTGTTTGTCCCAATGGAGGAATTCCTTGAAACTGGTTTATATCCTCATGCCTAACCCTGACTGGGTTTATCCCTGCTGGCACAAATCCACCCTGCTGTACCCCTGGGTTCACTGCTACCCCTTGTCCCTTCACCATTCCTTGCCCAACCCCCAAAACAGCCACAGGCCCTGGCTGCCCAACCCATGTTTGCCCCAGATTTGTAGTTGTTGAAACAACTCTCCCTTGTCTAGAAACAGTGTGTCCAGGCAGAACACCAATCACACTACCCTGGGCTGCTGGGCCTATCACCCCCTGAGGGGGAGCAGCCTCCTTAACCAGGATAGCACCCCTTGGCAAAGTGCCCTGATGTGAACCTGGGACCCCCTCCTCTGCCTCACCTGGACCACTTTTGTCCTTCACTAATACATAATTACCATCAGGCTGGGGCCCAATTATTTTCCAGGCATCTCCAGGGACTGAGCTTGGAGACATGCCTTGCCCAACAGATAGCAACAGGGTGGAGCTGACTGGACTGCCAGGGATGGTAGGTGTTCTGGGACTCTCAACCAGATACATGCCAGAGAAATTGGTTCCATGAGTCCCATCTGCTAACAGAACAGGGCTCTGCAGTGGTGACTGAACAACATAGTGCATGGGCTGTAGTACAGGGCTCGTAGTGTAGTAAACTGGCTGCTGCTGTAGTATTACTGTCTGAGTTTGATGTGGCAGTGTAACAGAGTGACTCATATTAGTAGAATGGCTGACATTAGTGACCTTAGACTGAGGATGAACAGTGCTTACAGTGCTTGCAGATGATTTGGAGATGTTGGTAGATGAGATGACTTTCTCTGTCTTTATGTTGGTGTGCTTTGACTCAACTTTTGACTTAACAAACTGTTTGACAAAACCAGCTGTTGGTTGGACACTGCCTGCCACTTTGCATGTCAGGAATGGTCTGGATGCAGGTGTTGCAGGGGAACAAATCTCAGCCAGAGTCCTGAATTTTGGCCCGAGGTCATTGAGGAACTGCAGGTCATTGTGAGACTCCAGGAGGCTGCAGCAGCCCACTGATCCTGTAGGGGAGCCCCTCCCTTCAAACTCATACCCCAGCAGACTATCCTTCACTGGCACGGCACACCCCACTTTCTGTGACAGGCAAAGAAACAGCATATAAAAACATTGTCAAAGAGCCTGTGAACATATGATGGCATGTGGTTAAGAAAACACAGTACCTGTGAGTAGTACTCGTTAAGAAAAGCACTTGGTAGGGCTATGTCCTCATACAGAGTTGTTTTTTGTTGCATATCAAGTTGTTGTTGTCTGTTGCTACCATAGCCATGTCTGAACGATTCCCTTGAAAATCTGTAGGGATTGTCAACCTGTATCAGATTTTGGCTGGCCTCCTGAAGGCGCTGCATAGATTCATTGTAGCTGTGGGTTTGGTAAATCTCTATCTTTTTTGCAGTAGCAGCATTGAAAGTTAGTGTTGCTCCAGCTGCAACCTTCTTCTGGTTGGCCAGCATGATAGGGACACTTTGAAGTGGTACTTCCTGGAATTAAATTATGTATAAAAAAGAAATGAGTATTAATCAACAGATCAAGTCATTGTTTTTAAAATTGTTTTGTCTAACAATTCAAGCAATAGAAATTGCAATACTTCATTATGTATAGCATTCAATGTGGTATGGGAGTAACATGCTGTACTTATAAAGGACTTGCCTATTTATTTTACATTTTTCCACTATTTTAGATTAGTCAGTCAGACTCTAGCAGAATTTCTTTATGCACTTCTTAAAGAAAAAAACTCAGTGGACAAATCTAGGGGGAAAAACATATTTTTTCCACAAAACAAAAAAGGAAAAAAATTAAACAAATAAACAAAAAAGAAAATGAGAGCCAACCTTATCCTCCCCTTTGCCTTCGGTATGGTATGATATGAGATGTTCTTTGGCATCAAACGGCAGATCGCTAAACTGATCAGGGAAGATAGTGTCTGCTCCTCCACACTGACAGAACAGCAGGAGCAGAGGGATGACTGAAGAGGGAATCCAAACATTCGAATCAGTTTAGAGTAGAAGAGAACCCCTCAAGTGTATGGAGTACTGTTGCTGTCAAATGTCTGTATGCGTAACTTTAACACTTTGTGTCCGTGTTTGAAAACTTTATGCGTAAATAAATGCTTCCTACCCCAAAAATGGTTTGGGAAGTATGAGTCAGCAAATTATGAATGTATTTTTGTGAGTATGGATCTAATGGCTATGATTTCAAGCAGTTACAAATATAAATCTTATTTTTACGCATATGAACTTGAGTCTTTGGGTATGAGGCGTAAAGCATTAAATGACATTACTGAGGCCACAGGCAGGTGGTAGGGTGACTTAACTGATCCCAGATTCCACCAGTTGCACATACACAATGATGGCTGACAACAGGAATGCTGCGCTCCGACTCGGTATCGATAAATCGGCATTCCAGTATCATTTTGATAACACTTGATAACAAAATAAATGTTTTAAACACATACATGCTATAGCATCAGCCTACTTAGTTCCAAGCTAAAGATTTCTCATGTGTAAAACAAGCGGTCAAGCCCTCACTATGAGAGTGGTGTGTTTGGAACGTAAACCAGTGTGACGCTGAACACCAAACACTATATACAACAAAAAACATTTAGTCTTGCCAGGAATAAATGTAAAGCATTTTCGGTCAGTTATGTCGACAGCTAAGCCTTGTTTAAAAGCTTTGCTTTAGCTGTATGCTATATAAAGATGTCCAGTCCTGTGTGTAGTACTACATAACATTACTTAAGTAAATACTGCATACACAACCAATGTCAATTTACAGTGACTTTCATGGCTCAGTTAAGTCTCCCTACCACCTGCCTGCGGCTCTGGTGATGTTATTTGAATGCTTTTTGCCTCGTACCCAAAGACTCAAGTTCATATGCATAGAAATCAGATGCACATTTGTGACTGCTTGAAGTCGTAGCTTTTAGATTCATACGCACATAAATACATTCATAATTTGCAGACTCGTGTTCACCAAACCATTTTTTGGGGTACAAAGCATTTATTTACGTATTAAGTTTTCAAACATGGATATAAAGTGTCAAGGTTATGACATTTGACAGCAATGGTACTCCATACAAGAGTGTTCTACACATTTTGTTCTAAAGATTTTCTGAACCAGTTTATTTAGTCTATGAATTTTGTGCATATTTTTAGTGTATTTGCTGCAGTTCAACTTACACAGCAGTAAGCACATTGCCGTGAGCAGCAACCCGATGGCTGGGGCACCAAGGTCTACTGAGGTAGCTGTCAGTCGTGCTGCCTTCAAAGAACAGTCCTTTTCTTCCCCACAGATACAAACATCTACTGTAAAAGCCTCATTGTCTGGGCAGGAAAGACCCTGAGTGTCCGATACCTCCAGCTGCAGCTCATATACGCCAGGCCACAGGGTTTCACGTGAATGAAAAGCAGCAGTTGTTTCTGTCAAAAACGGACACAATAGACTGTTAAATCAAAATTTCTACAACTGTCAATAACGCAGGTGCTCATACTAGCAGTAATAGTGTTGCATTCTTTATGAAGGCTGTAACTACTTGTATAACACATTAAAGTCCCAATATTGAATTTGTGTTTCAGGCTTTTACCCAATAGGCTTTGATGAAATACAATGAAAACAGTATGAGTTCATTGTAAAACTATGGTGGAACTGCACTTTGAAAGCATCTCATTTTGTGAAGCTTGACCCCAAATGTATATACCTTGACTCTTATTTAAATGATAGAGAGACTGAAAAATACATCTGGATCCAAAAGGCTAACTTAAGTACTGACTACGCTACTGAGATTATATGTCACCCTTTGTCACCCTTTTTTCCTCTGACTTTTTCAACATAGCAGAACATCACTTGGTGCACATTTCACTCACCATTGATCATTTCTATGTCCCAGGATCCTTGTGTCCCCTCTGGAATGATCCTGAATGTGAATGGAGCAGCATTAGGAAAGACGTCCTCATCAGAGCCAGTTACATAAACAGTTTTCCCATCAGTGCACAGACTATCCTGAGTGGTGGTCAGGGTGGGACAGTGGTCATTGGAATCAGTCACTTGGATGGCCATTGTTCCTGTGGCTGTCTTTGCTGGCATGTCTGAGAAAAAGTACAGTTTAGTCAATAGACAACACATACACCCCGAAGTCACAACAACACAATATCAGCTCTGTAGTCAGGAGGTCCAGATGACTTGTGTCTGACTTGGATAGTACACAAAGTGAAATTACCATAGATCTGGCAAAAAAAGTAAAAAGTAAAAAAAGTAGTCTGGCAAATCAACTATACTTCACCCTGCTGAAAAAGACCAATTTTTCAGACAACATGGTCTTCTATACATATCTGAATAACCCAAAACTCAGTGTACTTGTCTAATGTTTTCTTCTCACAGATTGCCCTGAGTTCTGTTTAAAACTGGCGGTTGGTGTACATTATTTTGCCCCTGGGCTTCTTTTGCTTATATAGGTGACACACCTTGAGTGTCAAGGTTGTTTAACAGGTTCAGTCAGAGATCAATGCACTTCAGTTCATTAAGCTCTTCTGGAAAGTATGTTCACGAACCACTTATTCTACTCATCAACACAAAGGTAATAAATCAAAGGTAATAAAAAAAAATTCTTCAGCAAAGTATTCATCAAGAGGAAAGTCATAAAACCTAAGTGTTGACTGAGTTACCTTTGGTGATGGCCAGAATCTTGGCAATGTAGGTACCATTGACCAAGAATGGTGATTCCCTGTCAGGTACCTTGTTGAGTTTTATCTCAGCTGTTTCATCATCAATGGTGAACCAGTTATCTGGATCATAGGCTTTGGCATAACTGGTGCACATAAAAAATATCAAATAAAAGAAAAGAACTGATTAATGTAAAAACGATAACAGACAATGGTGAAGCACAAGAAGTTTATTTTGGACATTTGGGTCGAAAACTTGGCTGGCAGTACTTTTACCAGCAGCATGAAGCAAAATTGGCTTAAACTTAATCTAAGCAAGATATTTACTTGCTAAAGCTACATGCTATTATGGTAAATTTAGACTTCACCTTGTATTTGTGATTAGATCCCACGCTTGCAGACATAGATCTGTAGACCACGTTGGCCATGGTAAATTCATTTTATCCTCTGTAGTTTGTCATAGTAGACAACAACCTAGGCTTTTTGACCTCTCAATAGGAAGTCTACCATGTTTGATTTTTTTTCTTTATTTCATCATGTCTGTGACATTGACCGATGACAGCCAATAGAACTTAACACAAAAGTAATTAATCAAAATAGCAACACAATACAATAATGATGAAATTGGTGCTATGAGATGGAACTATAAGACAGAAGAAAAGTTTTTCAAGCTCAGGGGACATTTTATGATCATGATCAAGCAACAACCATAAAAGACTGAAAAAAGATAAAGGTTGGTAAAAATAACAGACACACTTAAGCAACACTGTGACTGCTGTTTGCATTAGCATAAAGCTTGTACATCATCATACATACAGATGAACAATACATAGTCTCAGTGGGCAGTTGATAAAGCTACACTTCTCTTGAACAGATGATGATGTCAGTGCCTTGTAGTCATTGGTGATTGGTGAGGTATCATCAGGTTGTCTGCGGTGTTGGTCAGTCAAGTTTTTGGCTCTGTGATCACCTGATCTGTCACAGTGATCTACAAATCAAACTAATAGTCTGACCTCAACAGTAGACATGGGGATGATGTTCCATTTCTTTTATACTCAGAGCTAAACAAATAGCCATAATGTAGTTGGCCTGACTCCAGAGATGCCGGTGAACTTGAGTCTAATAGTTTTCTGTTACACAATGTTAACTCTAACTGTACCAACCTTACATCCTCAGCTGGTTTTCCAGTGTCTGGATCAACTGCAGCAAACACTGTGATGACTCCATCCTCTGGTGCTTCATTTGGATCTTCTGATACAGGAACGTTCTTGGTGTCGGGTACAAAAGCCGGACCCTCTGGTACATTGTTTACTGCTATCTTGATGGGATAGCTTTTTGGCTTTTTCTTTGGCTTTGGCTTTTTCTTTGGCCTTGGTTTTCCACCTGGTTTAAGCCCAACACCAGCACCAGGCCCAACATCAGGATGAAGCCCAACACCCACACCAGGCCCAACATCAGGATGAAGCCCAACATCCACACCAGGCCCAACATCAGGATGAAGCCCAACACCTACACCAGGCCCAACATCAGGATGAAGCCCAACACCTACACCAGGCCCGACATCGGGATGAACTCCAACTCCCGGCTTAAGTCCTGCATCCACCCCAATATCTGCCCCTGCTTCCACACTGGCATCCACACTGGCATCCACTCCTGCATCTACTCCTACATCCAGCCCTGCATCCACTCCTACACCTAGCCCTGCATCCACCCCAACGTCTAAATCTGCCCCTGCATCCACATCCACACTGGCTCCAGCACCAGCCCCAGCTCCAGCTCCAGCTCCAGCTCCAGCTCCAGCCCCTGCTCCAGCCCCACCACCCTCTCCAACCTGAACATCAACATCCATCACTATGGGCCCGCCTTCTACAAAAGGTGCCACATTCTCAATTTCCAGGCCAAGCTCAAGATTCTGGACTTCCTCAAAATCCACTGCCTGTTTGTTCCAAGATATAAGATTTTGAGATCAGCAAGAGAAGATAAGCAGGAACAACTATTAAGGACTTGTGTTAGTTACAGCTGTAAGAGTAAATAACAGTTTACACTGTAAATACCAGAAAACACACAGTACCTTGATTAGCTTCAGGATGCCCTCATTGGTTTCTTTGTCCGTCTCAATAGAGAAGAGGTTATCCTCATTTCCTTGGATGATTTTAAAGTTGGTCAGCCAGTTGTCTGTGTGAATTAGGTCTTGGTCCAGAGATTTGATTTTCATCACAATGACATTGGCAACATTTTCATCCACTGAGCCGTCATACTGCAAACAGGGTTAAGGTCAAAATGGTGTATGTCTGCTGTCTGGCTGAGACCATTCACACCACTGAAAGAATGAAACTCTGTGAAAGTGCATGACTAGATTGAGTTCAAAACCCTTGAACAATTTAAGAACTTTTTCATCTGTATGACCCAATTAGGACCAGATGATTCGTAGAGTCCTCCATTTGCTGGTAGTTACATTGCCACAGTATTGTTTAAGCGACTTCTCTTGGTTTCCCTGCTTCTTAACCAGATTGTTAACATTTGGGTCAAATAGCCGCAGGTTTACAGGCTGAATAAAGTTAGTAGTTTAAAGGTCATATGAGGAGTTTTTTCACATTTTATTGCAGAATTTTAATGATATTCAAAAGCAAAATAATGTGTGACAATATTGACAATTTAAATATCCAAATTTTTAATGTCCAAAACTGGGGCCAGGGACTAGGTGTCAGCTGCGCTGCTGAAGAAACAGCCCTGATTTTCAATTTCTCCACAAAATGTTCACAACACATGATATGTTCAGTGTCACATTTGACTGTCAAAAGTCTGGAGGATGAGATTTTATTTTATTTTTTTCAAAATTCAGTAATGGAGCACGCATGAGACTGGATGTACCAGGCTTGTTTTGTCCTTAGGGGGCACCAGAATTAACATATAATGAAATTTCCTCTCAAGAGCTTTGACATTTTTGTGTGTGTGCACATGCATGTGTGCATGAATGCATGAGTATGCATGTGTATTATTATGTATCACCTCAGACTTCTCTAGAGTAGGGATGTTGTCATTGATGTCCAGGATCTTGATCTCCACAGTTCCAGTTCCTGTAAGCCCATTTTTTGACCCTGCCATGTCAGTCCCCTTTATAACTAGTCTGTAGAAGTCAATATCCTGGAAAAGAAGAAACAACAAATCAAAATGTGCAAAAGGACACCTAACAGGGTTAAATGTCAATCAAGTACACACAAGTTCCTGGTGTTGGTTTTAAAGGGTGAGAAAGTAGCCCAGGGCAAACTCAGTGGCTGTAAAACTTTCTTTGTTTCAATCCTTGACATCAGGGATCTTTTTGTTCCTAATCAACATTTTCTCAGCACACCACAGTTTACACTCAGTGAAAAGGGGACAAGTGGATAACTGTGTTTCATTGTGTTTCAGGTATTGGTTAACTTTGCCTGTTATTATGGTTTTAAGTGAAAATGGTTGAAAAGATGTGAATGTATAAAAAGTATTTGACCAAAGTGTACATATTCATTGTTGTCTTATCGGGCAAGGTTCAGTTTTCTTTTTTGGCATTACCTTGCCTGTCAATCACATCATCAGGAGTGGATAAAAGTTTTTACAAAGTGTTTTCACAACAAAATTCTGCAGAAGATATGTGATATACTGTATTTGATGTGGAGTGAGCGGCAGCCTCACCTCTCTGTCCAGTGTGGGCTCTTTGACATACAGTTTTCCTGAATATTTGTCTATAGAGAACATGTGGCCTGTGCTCTCTGGCTCCTGACTGACAATACTGTAGGAGATATTTGAATTGATGGTTCCAGCTTGGTCATTGTCGTTGGCTGTGATCTGCATTACAAAGGTTCCTGAATCAGAAAAAGAAAAGGATCTTAGTGCAGTCCACTAAACTTTACAGAAACTCATTCTCAGATGCTGTATAACCAGACTGTAATCAGACAGACAATGTTTTTGACTCTGGTAGGTGATGACTTTATCTTAGATTAATCTGGATTTAAGACTTATTTTAAAGAATGCATGTATAACTGGAGGTGGTTTTGTTATTAAAGCTCCTGTAATGAGCTTTTTGGTTAATGCTGACTCTGGCTTCCCCTGTAAACATTGCAGTATCTCCTGTGTCTTTGCTGATCTTGACCTTCACATGTGTGAGTATTTTCTGGAGGACAAATTAGTTGTGTCAGCAAAGGCTCTTTTTTCATCATCATATAACACATTTTGACTGATACATACCCAGCAGCAGCATGTAAAGACATTACAAAATACAATATAGAAAAGTCTTTATGGGGTATTTTTTGTCTGAGTAGCTCATAAGGAGGTATCAGCATTAGTTTATCACCTTTTCATAAAATTTTCCTCACAGGAGCCTGAATCGGTCAAACAGAATGGTTTCACCTAAAGTGCCACCAGAGGAAAGATATCAAGGATACTGAAAAAAATGACAGTCAATGCCTTCACTCAGATTTAAACCAGTTTCCCATGACCATATTTGTATTATTTATAGGGCCTCTCACTGCTGTCACTCTGCAGATTCCAACAAACAATTTACAACAGAAAGACCAAAAGAGAGGAAAATTAAAGGTTCACTGTGATGTTCCCAAATGATTTTAATGAAGCTAGGAGGGATATTGACTAGATTTATTTATGACTTGTTGATAAGTCTTAAAACAAGACTGAGTCAAATATGTGATCTGGTCCACCCAATAGCTTGCTAAGCAAAAGGGAAGTCTAGACCTTATTCCCACAGCAGCCATCTACTTATGACATAACACTCAGGGTGGAAAACTCTTATTCTGTTATAATGCACTGCTACTGTGTTCCAGGTTGCAAGTCCTGAAGACCTCAATATTCTTACGAATTTTGTTCATTTTGTCACTGCTTAATTAATAATCCACCAACAGAGATCCAACCATTTGTAAGTTAAATAGGGCACAGGTAAAACAGGAAAAGTGAAATGCATGCACAAGTGGCCAGAAGTTATTATTACCAGTGAATGTGTTCTGATTGTGGTTCTGGGCCGTCAATTTTTGTTATTTTTTTCTATTAAACTTAAAATGTGGTCTGATCGATTGGTCAAGTGATCCGGATCAAGATGGATGCTTGAGATTGTTCTCCGCCCTGGGCTTCAAATAACTCCGTAATTTTCTACAACTCAATAACATCAGCCAAATTGTGCTTCAGAGATGCCTAGACCGCAGCGAGACAAGGACTTTCCTATCTTTTCACCGTCGGGCCTAGCCGTTAAAAAGAAACACAAGCAGCCTTGCCCTGTATCCCGAGTCAGGCTAAGCAAGGTGATACTAACAGCTCAGAGTTAGCGCTAACTGACCAAGCTGCGATGCAATAGACCTTAGCCGAAATAAAGTCTGTGACCTCCCGGGTGAACGACATGGATGAATCAGTTGGCACTCGCCTGGACACTATTGATGGCACATTAAGTGAAATGAAAGTATCTGTCACCTCGGTGGAGAGCTTGCTGTCGACTCTCTCTAACCGAGTGAAGGACCTGGAAAAGTGTATGAATGAGGCTTAAGAGAGGCGACAGAGGACAACCAAGGTGCTCACGACACCTGCATAGCTGCCATGGAAAAAAACAGTGAAGGAGTTACAGCTGAAAATTGACGACGTTAAAAAACATGGCCGACGTAAAAACGTGAAAATTATTAACCCTGCAGAGAAAGCGGAGGGCAACATTCACAGACTTTCTCCAGACAACATTACCGACTTTAGTCGGCCTGCCTGCTGACAATCCCCCACTGGAGACCGAACGCGCTCATCGAGCCCTGGCTCTCGCTTCAGCTCCAGGCAAGCCCCCAAGAAGCGTCTTGGTCTGGTTTCTACGATACTCCCAAAGAGAGGCTGTACTCAGGGCAGTGATGAATAAATGTGACATCCACCATGGTGGCCCCCAGCTAGGGATCTACCCCGACTGGTCTGCGGCGGTCCTGCGAAGGCGGCAAGAGTTTGATGCCATGGGGGAGGCGCTGGCTCGCCATAATAAATATTGTGGATTTGCCTACCCAGCGCGCCTTGGGTATCTCCATGAAGGTCAAATCCACCTCTTTGACACCCCAGAGGCTGCATTTCTGCAAACTCTTAGATAGCCCCACTAGACAATGTGTCCTTTTTTTTTTGGGACCACCACATGGACTCTGAAAGAACTGTTTATACAGCAGTGCTGATTTAATTTGTGACTCTCTCCCCTGGAATCAAGGTGATATTAAGTCCTTTTTTCCACAATTTATTAAAACGAATAAGTTTGTATTGTATTCAGTTTTATTTAATACTCGACAGGGCTTTTTATTTTTTTTCCATATTTTCCTACAAATATAGCACTTGCATTCTTTAATTTAGCTTTAGTAATTCATATGCCCTTGTGTCAATTTGAAGTGTAATCTTAATTTAAAGTACATCTTGCACAATTTGGTGATTCAAGCACAAATCTGATACCCATCATTCCAGGGTATTTCTCGGTGGTGTTCATCACTTAGCCTGGGGTGTGGACATTGTTTCAGGTGTCCAAGTTGTTACTGTGATCTAACTTGCATTAAGACTTGGATTATGCCTAGATTGCCCAGTGAATTCTTTGGGGGATGCTCTTTCCCATTGTTTGGGAATGGAATTTGGGAGGGTAAGCGATGCTGTTTAAATTTTAAGTGTTCTAGTTTCCTTTTGCTGAACCACTGGAGCCTCGGCTCACTTTCTTACACTATTGCCTGTACCCTGATCAGTTTCTCTATACTCAGTACCTGTTACTCAACTATTTTCCAGCTCTGTGGCTTTTATGTCTGGTTAACTTAAAACTTTCTTCCTTTTAATTACATGTCCCAGTCCATGGACATTCCAAGTAGTGAGTTTAACATATTTGAAAAAACAAAAAATTGACATAGCTTTACTTCAGGAAACAAGGCTATCTGATACAGAACATCTGAAACTTAAAAGGGATTGGGTAGGCAAAGTTTACTTCTCCTCCCATCCACAGAACGAGAAAGGCGCAGCCATTCTCACAAATAAGAATCTTTCTTTCATCTTGGAACAGGAAGAAAAAGACTCAGAGGGGAGATTGATTTTATAAAGGGTTCAATTCTTGAAAAACCTATAATTATTCTTAATGTTTATGCCCCAAATAATGATTTACCCCAGTTTATATCACAAGGGATTTTGATGTTAAACCATCATTGCAAAGGATTGAATTTCCCTTTGGGGATAAATGAAGTTATTCTTATTCTTATGGCCTGAGCTTTCTAGCTGGTGACTTTAAATGTATAATACATGCTTCTCTGGATAAATCTTCCTCTGCAAACATATCTAACCCGAGGTCATCTACTGTCCCTAAAAATTTATGCACAGATACTGAATTGATAGGCGGCATTTAAATCCCAAAGTTATGGACTGTTTAATCACAACCTCACAATTCGTATTCAATTCGACTAGATTATTTTTTTATTCTACAAAACTTGATGTTCAAAACTGTTTTAAGGACTGCGTCACTCAGTGAAGCTAGGTCTAAGGCAGGTATACAAGCTGTTAAGTATTTATGCAGGAGCAGTGTCCCTCTTCACAGGACACTTTGCGGCGCAGCACAAACAGTAGCTTCACCATCTTAAAGTGGTGTCATGTTTGTGCAGGTAGTTGCCTGAAGCTGTCATCATGATACTGTCTGCAGCATGATAAATATTCCCATGATAATCAACATCAATGTTTGCTTACAAAAACTTCACCTGCGTGTGTAACTTAAGTTACTATAGTGTGGTGAGACACCTCCTCCTCTTGTTTTATTTTGGTTGGACTTCCTGTTTTTCTTTGTTTTCCTGGTCTGGCTTGACTCTGTTCCAGAGCACCCTCTCCCTCCCCGGTCGCTGAGGCTGAGTGAGACTCCACACCTGCACTGCATCTGCAATCAAGGCCCTTTAAGATGCCAGCAGCCCTCAGCGCCTGAGTATTGTCTTCACTCCTGAGTGGAACAGACGCATCTCCTGGCCTTCCTCTCGGATAAGCGCTTGTGACTTTTTGCTCCCTGTGAATTTTTGTATGTCTTCTCACTTCCATCTCCTCTGTTTCTCCACAGTCTCCAGCCCACATAACAGCCAGCCAGCAAAACTGACTTTTCTCGTGTCTTTTTCCCCTGAGTTTGGACATTAAAAGTACATCTTTAATTTGCTATCTGCCTCTGTGTCTCTTCTGGGTCCACAAAATACACCACATGCCACAGAATACTCAGCCCAGGATAATGGACCCAGCAGACCCAGACAGGTCGTCCACAAGCTCAGGGCTTGCCTCGGTCAGCATGAGGATATGCTCCAGGGCCTGAATCAGCCCTTCCAAGGTCTCTCCGTCCAAGTAGCGCAACTGGTGGATCAACTCCTCGCTTGGCTTCCACCGCAGCAATCTGGGTCTCCCCCTTCTGTGAGTACGATACCCTCTCCACCTTCTCCACCCTCTCCTAACATCAAAGAGCCCTATATCCCTCCTCCTGAGCCGTATGCTAGGGAGATTGGGGGCTGCAGAGGTTTCCTGCTCCGCTTTGCTTTAGTGTTCGATCAACAGCCAATAAGTTATCCCTCGGATCGGTCCAAGATTGCCTACACCGTGAACCTGTTAAGAGGCAAAGCCGCTAAGTGGGCTACTGCCATTTGGGAGAAAGATTTGCCGATGTTGTCCTCATATGCCAGATTCACTGAGGAACTTCGCAAGGTGTTTGATTATCGTGTAGAGGGTCCCGAATGTACTAAGCAGTTGTTTTTTCCCTCACCCAGGGCTCTCGGTCTGTGGCGGAGTTCTCTGTTGAGTTCCGCACAGTGGTGGCCGAGAGTGGGTGGGGGGAACTAGAGTTAAAGGGTGTATTCTCTCATGGTCTGTCCGAACAGCTAAAAGATGAATTAGCTGCTCGTGACAAACCCTCCTCACTTGAGGAGCTAATCGCATTAGCCATATGGTTAGACAATCGCCTCAGGGAGAGACAAAGGGAAGAGAAATTAAATTCCCCTACCCATAGCGTAGACTCCCAATCCTCTGTCGCGGTCAGCGGGTCTCCTCTGCAGCCCTCCGTTCATCTGCATTCGGCCCTCATCCTCTCCCCTTGCTGCTGGTTTTTTCATTGTGAAAAAGAGAGATTTCTCTCTCCGTCCCTGCATCAACTTCCGCGGACTCAACGAAATCACCGTAAAAAACAAATGTCCCCTGCCACTGATCGATCCCTCCTATGAACCTCTCTGCAACGCCACCGTCTTCTCTAAACTGGATCTCTGTAATGCCTATCACCTGGTTCACATCAGAGAGGGTGACGAGTGGAAGACGGCCTTCAATACACCCATGGGCCACTTTGAGTACCTCATCATGCCCTTTGGCCTCACCAATGCCCCAGCTGTGTTACAGGCTCTCATCAATGACATCCTCCGCGGCATGATCAACAAATTTGCCTTTGTTTATCTGGACGACATTCTGATCTTCTCCTGCAACATGGAAGAACACCAACAACATGTTCGACTCGTCCTCCAGCGCCTCCTTGAGAACTGTCTCTTCATCAAACCTGAGAAGTGTGAGTTCCATGCCTCCTCTGTCAGCTTCCTGGGATACATCATCACCCAGGGGGAGCTACTCCCAGACCCAGAGAAAGTCCACGCCGCCCGTGACTGGCCCACTCCCTCCTCCCGCAAAGACCTCCAGCAATTCCTCGGCTTCACAAACTTTTATAGAAGATTCATCTGGAACTACAGCAAGGTGGCTGTGCCTTTCACCCACATCCTCTCACATCCCTCAAAGTCCCGTTCTCCTGGACCCCTGAAGCAGACGCCACCTTCCGTCAGCTCAAGTCCCTCTTCATCTCCGCCCCAGTGCTCAAACACCCAGATCCCTCTCTCCAATTTGTGGTGGAGGTCAACGCTTCGGACTCTGGAGTGGGGGCTGTCCTCTCACAGAGGGATTCCGAGACCCAGAAGCTCCATCCTTGCGCCTACTTCTCCTGGAAACTCTCACCCACCAAGTGCAATTACGACGTGGGAAACCGTGAGTTGCTGGCTGTTGTGTGGGCACTCCAAGTATGGAGACACTGGCTGGAAGGAGCACAACACTCTTTCCTCATCTGGACTGACCACAAAGACAATATCTCCGTTCTGCTCGACGCCTCAACTCCAGGCAAGCCCGCTGGTCCCTCTTCCCCAGCAGATTCTGCTTCACCCTCTCCTATCGTCCCGGCTCCCGCAACCTCAAACCTGACGCCCTATCTCGGATCCACTCCTCGGCTACCTCAGACCCAGAGAACCGGACACCATCCTCCCTGCCTCCTGTATCCTCGGCTCTGCCTCTTGGGAGATCGACACCGTGGTGGACAAGGCCCTCCGGAAACACCCGGACCCTGGAACCGGTCCTCCTGATAGTCCCTGAGGTTGCACGTTCCCAGGTCCTACAGTGGGGGCACTCCTCTAAACTCACCTGCCACCCTGGGTTTCAACGCACCCTCCGATTCCTTCAGCAGCGGTTCTGGTGGCCAGGGATGGTCCGGGACGTACGGGCATTTGTTGCTGCGTGCTCCGTCTGTGCCCGAGGCAAAGCATCCCATCAACCTCCGGCTGGCTTGCTGCGTCCTCTGCCTGTGCCCTCATGCCCCTAGTCTCACAAAGCTCTAGATTTCGTCACTGGTCTCCCCCCCTCTGAAGGTAACACAGTCATACTCGCCATCAAAGACAGGTTTTCCAAATTTGTGCATTATATCCTATTACCCAAGCTCCCGTCTACTTTAGAAACTGCTAATCTCCTAGTGTCTCATGTGTTCCAACTTCATGGTATCCCTATCGACATAGTTTCAGATCGTGGTCCCCAGTTCTCCTCCCAGGTCTGAAAAGCTTTCTGCCAGGCAGTGGGCGTGGAAGCTAGCCTCTCCTCAGGCTACCACCCGCAGACCAACAGCCAGACGGAGCAGGCCAATCAAAACCTCGAGTCGGCTTTGCGGTGTGTGGCGGCCCATCATCCAGCGTCCTGGAGTACTCACCTCCCGTGGATCCAGAACACCCATAACTCCCTCACTTCCTCGGCCACGGTTATGTCTCCCTTCATGTGCTGTTTTGGGTACCAGCCCCCCCGTTTCCCGAACAGGAGCACCCGGTGGTCATTCCGTCGGTGAGGGAGCACATTGGGCGTCTACGGGAGGTGTGGAGATCCACCAGGGCCGCACTCACCCGCACGGCCGAGTGCAACAAAGGCCTAGCTGACGTTCACCACTCTCCAGCACCAGACTATCGTCCTGGTCAGATGGTTTGGTTATTGTCCCGTGACCTTCCCCTGCAAACAGAGTCCCGCAAGCTGTCCCCCCCACTTCATTGGTCCCTTCCCGATCCAGAAAATTATCAACTCATCAGCGGTAAGACTGAAACTTCCCTCATCCCTCAAAATTCACCCCATGTTTCATGTCTCCCTGATAAAGCCTGTCACCTCGTGCACCCGAGCCCTCCTTCCATTGCCCCTCCACCCCCCCGGATGATTGACGACCACCCTGCCTTCACTGTGGGACGAATCCTGGACGTGCAGCCTCGGGGGTCGAGGCTTCCAATACCTCCAATCCTGGATCTCCCGCTCCCCTCATCCTGGACCATCAACTCATCGACGACATCTACGCCGCTCACCCCTTCATTGAGAGGGGGGTACTGTGGTGAAATGCCTCCTCCTCTTGTTTTATTTTGGTTGGACTTCCTGTTTTTCTTTGTTTTCCTGGTCTGGCTTGACTCTGTACCCTCCCCTCCCCGGTCGCTGAGGCTGAGTGAGACGCCACACCTGCACTGCCCTTCAATCAAGGCCCTTTAAAAAGCTAGCAGCCCTCAGTCTCAGCGCCTGAGTATTGTCTTCACTCCTGAGTGGTACAGACGCATCTCCTGGCCTTCTTCTCGGATAAGTGCTTGTGACTTTTTGCTCCCTGTGAATTTTTGTATGTCTTCTCACTTCCATCTCCTCTGTTTCTCCACAGTGTCTCCAGCCCACACAACAGCCAGTCAGCAAAATGGACTTTCCTCATGTCTTTTTCCCCTGAGTTTGGACATGAAAAGTACATCTTTAATTTGCTATCTGCCTCTGTGTCTGCTTCTGTGTCCACAAAATACACCACACGCGACACTATAGAGTATATCTGGGATGCAATTTTAGCACTAGTTGTTTTTTTGATCAGCAATCTTTTCAAGATGCAGTGTGTCAAACTTTGTTAAGAACATTTGACTCGGCCTCTTCATCATACCAAAGAACCCTCTTCCAGTCGACTGTGGAGTCTCCCACATGCTTTTGAGCGAATTTGAATCAGGTTTTGATATGAGCCTTTTTCAAGTGGCTTTTTTTTGCCACTTACCCACACAGCTTTGATTGGTGAAGAACCTGGGCAACAGTTGTGGTGTGCACAGTCTCTCCCACCTCAGCCACTGAAGCCTTTAACTCCTTCAGGGTGGTCGCAGTTGTCTTGGTGGCCCCCCTCTCCAGTCTCATTCTCAGATTTACACAGGTGCCATACTCCTTCCATTTCTTTATGATGGATTTAACTGAACTCTGGGGAATGTTCAGTGAGTTTTTTTATTTATTTATTTATTTTTTTGTAGCTATCCCCTGAATTGCACTTCTCAATAATCTTCTCTCTGAGTTGCTTGGAGTGTTATTTTGTCTTCATTGTGTGATTTTAGCAGGAACACTGATGAACCAGAGACTGGCCCTTCCAAACACGTGTCTTTATAGTACAGCCACTTAAGACACACTAACTGCACTTGGGTGATCTCCTTTTCATTAATTGTGAGACTACCAGCATTCTGGGCGTCAACTGAATTAGGTCTGTCACTTTAAAAGGGGGTGAAAGCTATCATTTTTTTCTTCATTTTAAGTTTTAACGAATTGACATATCTTTATAAAAATCAGTTTTCACTTTGACATGAAAGAGTTGTTTATTTTGTTAAAAAAAGATACATTGACCATGAATTCATTTTTAAAAGCAATAGAAGGAGAAAAACATCTAAGGAGGGGAAATAGTTTTTATAGGCAGTGTATGTTGAAGTTTTTGTACATCTGTGTGAATGCTAAACTACTAACATTTATACCTTGGTTTTACACTTTGTAAATTAAGCTTTAACCCTAGATAGCAGCTGGTTTGAACATTTAAACAACTAAGAAAATAAATTATAACAGCTGGATTCATGCTTGGATTCATGTTTTAAGAAGATTTTTTTTCTAAAAACTGCGTGATTACAATACATGCAGTTGCGCTTGTTATTTACATATTCGTAGTATTTCAGATTAAATTTGTTTTATTGAAGGAAACAAGTGTCTGTTTGCTACTAGCATTTAGGGTTTTCTGACCATAGCTTTTTATTATTAAGTAGTAACTTATTTGTGATACTTGGTTCTTATTAGGGCTACAACACAAATGCACCAAGGCACTGGGGGACACTGTTGTACTGGGGATTTCCTTTACTCCTCTTATGGACAAATTTTGATTCACTAACTAGTCCTACAGTTTGAATAATTGTAGGATAGATGATATATTAAAACAAGCAGTATGATTGGGATCAGTGTGCTATTACTTTTCTCCATTGTATATGTTTTTTTTGCAACTTATGTCTCAAAAAACTGCAGAGAAAATTTTGCACTTGCACAAACAGATATTGGAGTTTTTCAGACATCAACTGCTATAAATAAATCCTTGAAAAGGGAGTGTTTGTTGTAGGTGTGCTCCTTGTAAATAACATCACAATGCTACAAGAATTAAGTATTTGAAATCTCTAATAAAATCTCATCATAATGTTTACACCCATAATACAATAAACTGAGGATTTCTAGTTTATATTTTTGGATTACAATTGGTCATTGAGTAAAAACAACATTTTGTGATAAAGCACAATGGAAGGGGTGATTAAATGAATATCTTTTTTTACTAATTTTTACCTCTAAAATAAATAATTTATAGTAATTATTACAAGTGAGTGCTACATAACAAAACAGGCAGCAAAACGTGTTAGCAAGAAGCTAATGGGGTGTATGTTCTTCGTCTGTCAAGAGTTTGTTTACCACCTCTTCTTCCTAGCAATATATATGCTTCTCAACTACTAGCTCAGAGTCTGACACATGAACACTGGAGCATGCACAAAATGCTTGGGCCAGTTTCAATTGAGAAATATACATGACAGAGAAAATTGATCAGCACCTACATCATTAATGTATGTTAGTCTGACTATGAAAGGTTTGATGTGCGATTTCAGTCAGACTAATGTACTCACATGTTTTTAAAACTCTAGTTGTAATTGGACTAAGGCAATAAATCTTTTTTTAACAATATGTGAAGATATTGACAGACAAATTCAATGAAAGCATTACCTTTCTTGCTTGCCTCTGAGATATTGCCAGAATGCAGCTCAAAATAAGGAGGGTTGTCGTTCATATCAAGGATCGTGACAGTCAGTGGGATGTCTGCTTCTGCTGTTGTCCCATTTCTGTATTTAGCTACTCCTGTAAGCTGTAATATGAACATGAAAGATATGATAGACATTTTATCAATGAGCTGTCATTCAGTAATATAGTCAGAAAGTCTGCTTATTTTTTTCAGAATCAAAAACACGTCTACATTTTATGGTCAACCTTAACCAAAAATCTATTATACACATGGGTAAGGAAGTCACGGGTATACTGATGTATGAATTTAGTTGTGTCATCTATAAAGTGCAGATTAGTTCAAACCAATAAATAAAACTAACTTATAAATAATGTAGAGCCCAAGTGCAGGTCAGACTGAAACTGAACATGCAGCTACTTCATCAACTACCAACCCTGTATTTTACAAACAAAAAGATATTTTTAAAGAAAAATATAGTCATTCTCAAAGTGTGGACCTCCAGACGACCGTTAAAGTTAGTTTCTTTTTAAATTTTTCAAACTGTGAGAACATCTGATCCACTGAACATTACCCTTGAACACAGGAAGAGGTGACTGTCTGAATAGACTAAGTGAATGTGTGGTACAAGTGCATCTGTATAAAAGGATCAAAGCTGCTTTGTGTCATTGATGACTGCTCTGGCACACTTTCATGATATGAGCATGTAAGTTGTGTAAAATCATACTTTTGCGTTTAGCCTTTTTTATAACCTTTCTTAATCTGCCAAGATTTTTTTTACCACCTCTCTTCCTAGCAATACATACATGCTCAACCACTAGCTCAGAGTCTGACACATGAACACTGGAGCATGCACAAAACGCTTCCACTGCCATTGAACCATCTTCATGGCTGTCAGTTTGCATTCTACTGTTGTGTTCAAACCAAGCACAAATAAATTCACATCATATCTGACACACTACTGGTTTCTAACATTACATGAGTAGCTGTGAAAATATCTGTAATATAAATTTTGTGAATATTGCAGGTTTCTTCACAGCGGCAAGGTGATTCTGTAAAGGATGGCCCTCATTGCAAGATTTGACTATTCCTTGTAACTATTCCTTACTGTAGTTATTGATCAGGTTCCATAAAAAGTCAAGAGTAATCTATGTGTCAGTACTAATGGCAAATGCTTGAAACTTATAATTTTTGATGTACTGTCACAAGAATTTGATGTCCATCTGAGCAATAGAAGCTAAGAAATGTCTGAAAAAACAGTGTATTATTTTTTAGATGAGCAAATAAGGATGAGGAGGAACTCCTAGCCTTAGCTAGCCATAACTGTGAGTGTACTAAATATTCATATACAGTGTAAATAATAAATAAAAGACTTACATTGTAGGATGGATATTTCTCCCGGTCTAGAACCTGTGTGACCCGTACAAAGCCTGTGTTTTGGTCCACCACAAAGAGGTTGAAGGGTGGCTTGTCAGCTCCTGCTCCAGTAAGATAATACTCCACTTTTTCAGCAACGTCTTTATCAGAGCGAATCTAAAAAGACATATTTGAAGATGCAGGTATCAACCAACTCAAGATATTGCAGGGGGCTGACTGTAAATGTGTGCTTTAAAAAGCAACTTATGTGGTCGTTCTTCTGAGATAAGAATATCCCTGCTGTTTCTTTGTTTGTGGGAAGTTGGCATAGGTGAATAAAACCTTGAAAGAGATCAGTCTTAAAACTTTCCTTCAGTTAAAATTTGTTTTTATCCTAAGGACTAGTCTTTGAGTGTGGAAAGAGGAACATGTAATAATAGGTATTCAAAGTTTTATATCCCTTTATTATGATGTATCTTTGTGTTTAATGTGTAGCACTCTGAGATCTTTGGATGTAAAGGGTGCTACAAATAAAATTTATTATTTATGACTAGGACACAAAAGTTCATATTGACATTTGTGGTCTAAATTTTAGTTCACACAACCACATGCTACTCAACCTCAGCTCACAGTAATAACACTTGAGTCAATGTGTACAAATTATCTTACTTAGCACAGTCAAATATATGTATAACTGTATGATAGAGCTTTACCCAATGTTTTACAAATGCTTGAATTCATAAAGAGAGAAGAATAATGATTTATTTGCTGACAGTGTTAAAGTCACTCTACAGCTGACAAAACTCAAAATTTTTAAGGAGGTAGACTGAGACAGAAATGCGCTGTGTGAGCTGTATCTTTCATTTTGTGCATCAAACACTTCCACGAGGCAACCTTTCCAAAAGAAATTCTACCAGTAAAGTTCTATCTAATCTAATCTAATCCAATTTTAAATAATCTAATCTAATCTAATCTAATCTAAACACAAATATAAATGCAGTTATTAAGACTTGTTAACAGCTTCATGCTGTTTTGTATATTTTAGAGCTCTTATTTTCTTGAATTATAAATTATAATATACATTTTAAAAGAAAGATTTTAAACTTTAAATGATTGAAGAATTACTTAACATGCCAACTGAATTCAAGGGTAAAATGCATCCATAAAAAACCCCTAAAGAAACTGGAAGCCTGTAACATTTACTATGTGTTGAGCTCTGTCCTGACAATTTTACAGCAAAAAAAGAGAAAACCTTGATCCAGATGTGACCACTTTGAATGTGTATTGTTCTCTATAGGTAAAGCAGTATGAGTCACTTTGTAGCCCAAGGCTTGTTTCCCTATAGTTTCACAGAGCTGTGGCAAAAAAAAAAAAAAACTGAAGTAGTCTCTATCATGAAGTAGTCTCTGTCAAACATGTCAACACAGGCTTCTCACTGCAGGGTTGTGACAGAAATTAAGTCTTTGTTCACCCGAAAGCTTGTTGATTTGGGAACTTTGCCAGTATTTTTAATGCATTTCGACACCACATTTGTTAATTGTGGGAAGTACAGTTTCATAACCAAAATCTAGATCACCTTGGCAATAAAATCCCTGTCGCTATAATCTGTGTTCTCCTTTAATTTTGCAGGAGGAAGGATCCACTCTCTCTTCCGTCTCAGCAAAGTCCTCTTCCATCTTCCTTCAGCATTGTGCACCTGAAACCAAACAGCAGCAGATTCACATCACACAGTGACTTCAGTGGAGGCCATGGTGAGCTGTAAAGTGAAGGATGCTACTGAATATTTACTTTGTAAAACATGAAACTATAATGAAAGGCATAGAAAATGAGAATAAATTATGTGTAAGCAGCCTAAGCAGCCAAAGTTGCAGACAGAAATGAACAGGGAAATTAAGTACAATTACCATGCACCAAAATTTGCTATGAAAGAGTAACCAGGCCAGAGGTTAGAGAGGCCAGAGAAACTAAAAACACCAACATCCTCTGGAATCCACCTAAATTCCACCTTGTGTTTACCCATGAGCCCTTTTCTGTTTGAGTTTTTGGTACTGTAAACATAAGAGAAGCTCTGGTAGTGGACACAACATCAGTAGTAGAACCGCCTTTGTCGCATTTGTCTAGCAAGTTCACAAGTCATACTGTTAGCTTCACAAATTTATTCCAGGTTTTCCATAGATCAAGATCTTCTCCTAGTGTTGTTTGCTTGATGTAGTTTTGGTCAGAATCCAAATATGTACTTGCTGAATTCAAATATGTTGCATGTTGTATACCTCCTTAGCTTAGTGAATGGTATTCCCAAAGTAGTTAAGCAATATTGGAAATTGTAACTGAAAAACTCTTTATGCATGCTATGTTTTGTCTCCCTTACCAGAAAATACAGTTTAATAAATTACTAGCACAGGTTGACAATGTTATATCCAAACATAATATAATCACTTATGTGTTCCTTTTGCCTTACTGTGTTTCTTTTAGAAAAGATAATTTGGTTGTTAAGTTTGGTCTTTCTGACTTTCAAAGAGCTTGCCAATCCTTATGTTACAGGATACCAGGAAAACAGTAATTAGGGTTTCGCCTTGCATTTAATGTTGTGATTTTGATGCATCTGCTCATAAGGAACGATGGGTGAAAGTATATCATATGTAACTTGATCAATTGCATTAATCATAGTAAGTGAGAAAAATAGATCTAACTCGATTACTGATCCCGCAAGTTAAAATTAATTTGCCCGCCAGCCTGATCAGGCCAAGTTGTGAACAGTGGTTGGATCAGTTGACCCCCCTCTGGTTCACGCCCCACTCGAACGGGTTAAAAGCTTTGAGTTTACTCTGTTCACACTCTAAGTTTATCTCTCAGTTTTTCTCTTTTGTCTTTGTTCTTTTCTTTTGTGTCCCGTCGTTGTTTAGTGTACCTTTTCTACATTTTTGATTGCCTTAACTTTTCAGCCTGTTACCAGAAACTTTGATGAAACTACCCAAGTTTCTTCACTGTCATAAGTAATTACCTGCACGCATAGACTGTCAAAGTAAAGTGACACCTGAAGATAATATCGCCGGCCAGAAAAATTATTTTCTTAAGTTATTGGCGCGAATTAATCTGCAGTAAAGCTAACTCCAAATGCTAGACGGGCTGACCCAGACCATCTTCTGAGCCTGCGTTTGCCACAAGGTTATAAGAGAGGAGTGCTGAGGGATCCACAGGTGGTGTGTGCTTGTGTGAGACATCTGATCCACCATTCGGCTGGCAACTGCAAGCCAAATCCGCCAAATCCACCAAAACCACCTGTAGCCTGGACCTTTGGCAGACCCACTCCAAGGGCATCTTCTGAGACCTGTCATCAAATAAGTAGGCAAACCTCTTGTTTCTCTGAAGAACAGGGTTGATGTTGTCTCATGCGGTCATAGCTTTAATTCCCAGTTAACATTTGGCTCTTTTACTAAATTTCCACCACATTCTAAACCAAATTCTCTCTCAAAATTTACCCTTGTAATGCTGTTAACGCTGTTAAATTGTTACTTATTTACTCACGATCATTAACCTCAATAATTCTAGCTCATTTTAAAATTGTTCCTCCATTTATCTTTGGAAGTGTGCCTTTATTATCATTATTTGATTGCCATATATTGAATTTATGTTATCGCCTTAGAATTCTTCAATCAAGTATCCATTTAATTTTAAGTTGTTGTCTCTTAGTGGTCCTTCCAGAAGTGAAGTCCCTGAAATGAGAATTCCAGCCTCAGATTAATTTAAATCTGTTGAAGATTGAGCCTACATTTGATTACTTAATTTAATGTTGTTTTCTTTCTTTTTCCCACCATCAAGGGTGGGTGGTGCCCCTTTCAACGAGTGCATAAATGTCATGATTTAAGATTATTATTTCAGGACATTTATTATAAATTCAAATTGTTACACCAGTCTTCAGCAGAAAAAGGAGACAAGAAGCAGGAAACAGCACAGAAACCATCACAATGTTTCTAAATGTTAAAACTTACCAAGATAACATCTAAATGTATAATAAATGTGATTCTTCAAATGTCAATGTTTAATGTTGCCTGTATTCTGCACAGTTAGCAAAGCATAAAACAGTTAAGTTTGTTAACACTGAAAACACTTGTCTGCAGTTACAGTGTACTACTTCGCCTCTTATCAGTCATTATTGAAATTGAATCCACTCTGTCTTAAAAAAGACACAGACACTTATGCAAAACTGGAATCTACACAATTTTCTGCGGCAGGAATCGAAAACATTCCAACATATATTACTTTCTACCTAGGTGTAAGAAACTTTAAGTACAGCAGATTAAAATAGTTTCATTATTAGACTGAAGGAAAGACAGATGGTTAAAATGAGGTGTGATCTTTCGTATTGTGGTTGAAGCCTAAATATGTTCTTTAAAAATAAAGACGGACATTGCTGAATCTGAGGTGAGGTCCTGAGTACGCCTGTGCTCATTCAGAATCTCAGCACTCAGGATGATAAATTGTCACTTTGCTAGCATGTGCATCTGCTCTGGAGCATGTGAGTAGGAGCTAAGCCAAAGCTACAAAAACAACTGTGAAAAGATTTTTGGCAGCAAGGTGACAGTCTGATGTTGTGATTGCGTGTGTTTGGCACCTTGTCATGTGTGATCATATTTTGAGGTGTGGCTGTTGTTGAAGCAGCTACAACAGTCATGTTCAACACCTGATGTAGGTGACATAACAGCAACATGACAGAAGTACAATATCTCCAACCAGGCAGTAAATGTACCACACTGGCTCCCCTGTTATTATTCTGAGGGTGTGGTAATCTGGATGGGATTGAATCTGGTAGTTTAGCCCCAGTGTTGCCAAGAGGTAAATGCAGCCTGACTATGGAGAGGACAGAGCCAAATATGTTTACATAAACAGTGATCAAATGCAAGAAGAAATGTAGATACTTATTTTATAGATTTAATTTAGCGTCAGTAAACGTTCTGCTCAACACAGATAAGGCAGCACAACATTAACATTAAATCAAACCTCAGCTGAAGCTTTACTCTGAGAGACTCTTATGTGTTCACTCTTGGAATTATACTGTATTCATATTTGCTGACATTTTAAAAAAGATAAATGTCACTTTAGAACCCTGTTTTTATTTGCTGTTGTTAACAACTGGAGCAACTTGTTCTTGATAAAGTGAAATGAAACTTTCTGTAGATATTTATATTTTTCCAAACGCACATTATGGCATTCAAAGAGAAAAAAAGAGAAACAATAAAAGAAAAGGATGTTTTCTCTGTAGACTTTTCTTTGCATTGAGGGAAACAAGAAAAGACCTTTAGCAAAATGTGACCGAACTTAGGATATCTGCAGTTTTCTTGCAACAAAAAGGCTGTTTCTGAGAGGTATCAATCATGCTATAGTATCTACCAATAACAAAGGCAACATGCTCATATGTCACCAAATACAATAATGAAGGGATGTTTCTGCATGACTATAAGAGTGATATTTGTCAAAGTGTACCATTTAAGGTTAATCTGGTTTGTGTTTAGACTCACAACTTTACATGCAGAGAGGATTACCTGAAACCTTGGACCTGTTTCCAATTGAACCTCACCAATTCAACTCATTACACACTGATAGCCAAGAAGAAATCAACCTAAAACCAAAGTTTCTCTCAATCTAATGATAAAATGTTGAAATACTGATTGATACTCTTTCAACAAACACAGTCTACACAACAATCAATCTGAAAAAAATCTAAATGTCTGCTGGAGAATTGAAATGTTTGTATCAACACTTTCCCTGTACCCAGATAAAGGCCCTGTGTGCGTGGCATGAAAGGATATGCATATTACTGGAGATAACAAATGTGGAGTGCATTATTTGAAAAACAATCAAATGTCACAATTATTCCTACAACTTAAACACTTAATTAATCTATATCTATTAGATCCCATATTGGCTTTTTGGGTTCACTTGATTTAAAAAGATATTTGTACTCCAACAAAAATGGATACTTGACTGTTGTGCAAGTTTAAATGGATAAATCACTTTTTCAAATACAGCTCTTCTGTCCATACATGTCTGAAAAACAGCACCTACACGTCAATTTGGTGTATTGAGATCAACACAGCTGTGAACAAACACATGAAATAGTGTCATTTGGCATGTGACTGCTAAACACAGTTGCAGCACACAGAGTCAGTCACTGCAGCCAAACTGCATTTACTGCGTACCATTGCATTCTTGTGCATGTATGTTATTCTATGCAGTACATTGTGTAACCAATGAGTAAACAGGGTGTTAAAACTAACATTACACTTGGCAGTGCATGATTTACAGTCCTGCCTTTGAAACCTCTGGTGTTGAAAGCCAATCAAAGCTGTGCAATTATGTCTTATATGGGTGTATTTTGTAATGATCCCTAATTATAGCTGATGTATAGTGATCTGGTTATCTTGCAGAATAAACCCCTGTCTTGTTAAAACAGGTTTTCTCATGGACTGTATCATATCCTGTTGTGTCAAAGTGAAGGGTTTTAGTCGCTCCAGGGTAAATACTCACCAGAGCCAGTGTTAGCAGAAGCAGGAGGCCCACTGCTGGGAGGGAGAGATGAGCCATGAGTACAGCATATACCAACTTTTTCTGTCTGTATGTGTAAATCCACAGACTCCTTTCGTCAAGTGGTCCAAACAGGTGAAAAACTGCTGAGCCTTAAAGAATTTCTGTTAGTGACACGCCTATGTTCTCTCTCCTTTCACATGTACAGGTTGACCACACCTGTATATGCAGACCCCTCCTCTCAACCCCCACCCCTCCCCCTCCCTTGCTTCATGCATGAACTTATAACTTCAGCTGTCACATGTAGAATGTTTCCCAAAGGTGTGTCCTCTTCTTGCCGTCTAGTTTAAAAGTTACCTGTTAAGCCTCAGGGTTGAACACTTGATCAAGCTGACAGGGACAGACAGCTAAAGACAGATTCCTGCATTACACTTTTTTAAAACACATGTTCAGTTTTTTTCTGGGAAAAACAAGCCTCAACAGAACACTGTAGGAAAATCTACTGCTGTTGATGTTTTAAAGAAGGACATCATGACTTAAGGTTAAGGTCTGGTTTATAGGGCTGTTTCCCTTCCACCTGACTTAGCGGCAATGGTGAGGCCTTACTGAGCTGTGCCTTACCACTGATAGCATTAAATCAAAATATTGCATCCTAAGAAGAGGCAGATATCATTTGTGTTGTGCAGAGCTGCACAATAAATTACGAAGTTTATGTGAGCATTTTTGCTATAATCAGTAAAATTGGAAATAATTTAATGTATTTAACCAGCGTTTTCATACCCATTTGAATGTCTTGTATTTTGGCTTTCATTTTATATTGTAATAATTGCAGAGAGAAAACATATTACAATGTCAGTTTTCTCCAGTGTTTTGCAGCTCTAGTATCTTGTTGAACTTTCCAGTATGATTCCTAACAAATGTAGCTGCTTTTACCTTCTCACTTTTTTGTAGACCAAACCTGATTAATAATTAAACCTCTACATGCATCCATTGAGTCTTACGAGCAAATATGTGGGTACAAAATATAGACAAACAAACCATTCTGACCAATTAACCAGGCCAATGGCATCTTAAAATCACTGGAATGGACATATATCTGGGCTCATGGGACTAATTTTACAGAACAAACAGTTTATGTCAGCAGAAACTGCAGGTTGCCTGGTCTGTGGGGCTGCTGTTGAGCAATGTTGATGTCCCACCTAATGAGAACAGGTTTCCCCTTATATCAGTTGACCGCCAGTAAGCACAACATTAACAATATGTTCACCATCAGAACCCATGATATGGTTTGTTTTGTTGTTAATGTAGCAGGATGAGATGCATCATCCCTGCTCTTATGTCAAGTGAGTGTGCCGCCTGCTCTCCCCTCAGATCATTATCCAGTCAGCACCTGAAGCCACATTATAAAGCCACGCTCAGACCAAACGCGACCTGAAGCAACCTAGTCGCGTTGGTCGTTGTATTCCCGTTGCGCCCTGGTGTGTTCACACCGGGTCCAAAGCTGCAGTCACGGAGGTCGCAGGACACGACCGATCGCCACTGACCCGCTTCTCCCACCTTCCTTCTCCCTCCTTTTCCCCCTCATATATACATTCCGCAGCCCCTTCCAGCGCTTGCCGCACACATCCACTGCAAAGACACACACACACACACACACACACACACACACACACACACTAAGGGTGTGGAAAATAATCGATATCAATCGATGCATCGATGCGCATGTGCGCGATGCGACTGCGTCGGCTCATTCACTGGGTATCGATGCAATTGACGGGTTAAATCTAGATTCATCTAGATGCGTTTGTGGGTATCGGTAAAATCCGATGCAAGCGTTTAGAAGATGACCTCGGTGCAAAAATGCAGAAATGAACTACACGAAGACAGAATCAAGCTGGCAGCCTCTCGCAGGATTTTATTCCGATCACAGCATCAGACACAGTTCAATGAACAAATCGAACAGACAGAACCAAAAACAGCCCATCCACATATCTCTTATAGTCCTCCATTGACGTCATGGACCTTAGTTTTAGCCAAATGTGCGTGCGAAAGCCCCCTTCGTGACTTTCTCTGCCACTATCTTTTGGAGCCAGATTTCCTGTTATTGCAATTAAGCTACCATGGGAGAGGTTCACCATGACCTGATATGAAGTTTATCCCAATCTGACCACTCCACCCATATCCTGTTTTCTTGCCTCATGGTAACCTCCAACACATCCAAACATATCTATTATTTTCCCCCACAAGCGCCGTTTTATTCATGTTAAACTTCACCCAATCTGCTGTTTCCCAGGCGCATTGAATGCACCATCATTTTTTCACGTTTTGTATTGAATACGGACGGAAGCCGTGAGGGACATACAATGCACTACTACTAAAACAGCATGGACCACATTCAAGTGAGCAGCAGCGAGAAATAGTTTATATGTAATGCACCCGCTACGTTTAAATCATATGTTTGGAAACACTACGGATTTGCAAAGAAAGACGGAAAGCTCGACAAAACGTCCGTCATTTGCAAAGAATGCCGCGTTAAGAAGCCGTACAACGGCGGCACGACAAACATGCAGACCCACTTAAAAAGAGAACACCACATCACCGACAAGTCTAACGCCACCTCCCCTCCCTTAACATTGATTGCACTGATGAAAGTGTCACTTTAGGTTACTCATTGAGAGTGTTTTGTTGTTGCTGTTTACTGTACTTTTTACAGAAGTAATTATTGTGTAATTGTTTTACTCTTTTATTATTGCAGAACTCACTCAAATCACTGATTTTGTGGCCAGTTAGAAAGTCAACTCTAGCACATTGGTTTGGCAGACAGTAGTATGGCCATTGAATGGTTTATTTGCACCATGTTAGGCAGTGCATTAGTTGTTTAATAATGTGTACTGTAATATTACCGAACAAGTATAGAGCACTTGTGTGATGTAGGGTTGGGGTTGGAATCCTTTTTTTTTTTTTTTTTTTTTGATTTTATTGATTCAGATTCCTTAACAGTTGCAGGAGGTCTGTCTAATCTGTGTAACTGTACAAAATGAAGGAGAATAGAAAAAAGACAAAAAGCACTTTTGTTGAATTAACTGCTAAGTGCCTTTAAGGAATAAAGCCAAATCCTTTTTGTAGTACCATACTGAATTCCATCTTTTATTTTTATTTCTTTTTTTTCTTTGCTTATTTGCATCATGTTGAATTGCATCATATCGCAACAAATTGCATCATATCGTATCGGTTCGCATTGATTTGAACTAAACGATTATTGTATCGTATCGCATCGTGAAGAGGGTGAATCGTATCGCATCGTATCGCCAGAAAATTCCATGTATCGTTAAAGTATCGTATCGCTGGCAGTGCATCGAGATGCGTATCGAATCGTCCTCAGTGCTGAGATTCACATCCCTAACACACACACACACGTTGAAACATGTAGCCTAGCAAGCAGGGGAAATTTGCTATGTTTTCAGAAAATAGTCTGCTCACTGAAATAAAACATCATGGGCCACCTTCGCCCATGCCTCCTCCCTGGAGGTGCGATCCCGATTTTTTTTCTTTGAACTGTAAGTCTGAATTATTTTGGCAGCTGAATTATAATTTTTTATTTTATACGTGCTGTTGTGCCCCTGGCTGACTCTACTGTTTAACTTACGATACCAGTTCACCTTTAATTACCACAGTTATACGTCTCATGTTTATCTCACAGCTGCTGATAGTTTCTCTATCATTTACTGTCATCATCACTACTTTAGAGTCCTGTTGATTTTAACTGTTAAAAAGTCTGTCTGTAATTGTGACTTTGTACATCCATTGTTATTACGGGTTGTGGACTCACAAAGGAACAGGTGATTGAGAGACGGTACATTCCAACTACATATCCCAACATGCAGCACTTACACCCCAAAATGGCCGCCACCAAACAGCAACCTCAAGGGTCATATTACAAGATGGCTGCCAGACTACAGACCACATTACCCAGAAGGCACTAGGACTCAGACAACTGCAGGTTCTTATACCAGATTGAAGCAAGGCTGAGGAAGTGGACAGTGAACAAAGAAAAGGCAGTGATTGAGAGTGCCTGGAAGACAGGACAGGTCAAAGAAGTTTGGAGAAGACTGAAGTTGGAGAGAACTGGAGAGAAAAACCCACTGGTGAAAAGAAAGTTGGACACTTAATGTTGGTTATAGTTTGCACTGTTTAATGCATCATATTTTATATAGTGCTTTTTCAGAGACCCTCAAAGCACTTTACATTGGATGCATCATTCATTCGCTCACACAGTCACACCCTGGTGGTGGTAAACTACCTTAGTAGTCACAGCTGCCGCGGTGAAGACTGACAAAACATGGCTGCTGATCTGCGCCAACAGCTTCTCCTACCACCACCAAACATCACTCACTATCATACACTAGTGGAGGACACACACTGGGAGCAAGGTGGGTTAAGTGTCTTGCCCAAGGACACAATGGACAGACTAGAGATATGTTTATTAGTTGAGAACCTTTTTCCCCTTCTGGGTCAGTTTAAGTTGCACTTTGATCTTAAGAAGAGAAATGCCTGAATTACATGTGTTTTGTTTGGTTGAAGACAGACTGTTGAGAAATAAATCTTTAGTTGGAACCTTTCATTTTTGCCTTTTTATTGCACTGCCTCAGTTTAACCTCAAGACCTCTCATTGCAAGGTGACAAGGTGCTAAAACCATAAATCTGTGTGAGCTGTTCTGCATCTTTCTTCTATATCTTTTGCTCCCTCTTCATATAACCCTCTTTCAAAGCCCAAGACAGCCTGTTCAGCACAAGTCTGGTTCTGCTCAATCTTTTTTTTCTCTATTATAGGTTTTTTTTCTTTGCAGCTGTTTGTAATGAAACAGGACTCAGAATGTGTGGACATAAATGCAAAACACCACACCAGCAAGTCAAATAGGCAAAGGTTTAATAAAACAACCAAAGGTCAGACCACAGTAAATAGCCAGTGCCCTCTTATATGCTGCAGTGTGTTTGGGAGGAAGCAACAAGAAGAGGGATTCCTCGCGGCTGGACAGACTGGTACGGAAGCCAGCTCTGTA